GAGGAAATGGTTGAGTCACCATCCCTGGAGGCATTTAAAAGACGTGTAGATGTGGCACTCAGGGACATGGTTTAGTGGTGGACTTGGCAGTGTTAGGTTAACAGTTGGACTTGATGATCTTGAAGATCTTTTCCAACCTAAATGATTCTATGATTCTATGAAATTTCCTTCCCTAACTGTTATATTGATCAGTCTTTAACTTTGTTAATATATACATTAGTTCACTGCAATGTGATGAGGTAGTGGAATTTTACTGGAGACTTTGGTATTATTCATGCTTAAGTAAAACAAACTAAAGGACAGCCCAGCCCTAGAAAGAAGGACTTTGCTTCTTGGAGGCTTAGAGATGTTCATGAAGGATAAAGGATACCCCTGGAGAACCCCTGAAACCCTGCCAGCATCATCTGGTGTGGTATCCCAGTACTGTCTGGAGATAAGTAACTCCAGCAAGACTGACTCCAGGGACATCTAGATCGATAGACAAGCAGCAAGAATGCTGCAAAACTAGAGTTGCTTTGCAAAGTTTTACTACGATTAGTAATTGGTACCGTGGGTGTTAGTGATTAGTCAAATCGTGTTGTACCTGAACGATTGAAGGATATAAGAACCCTGTGTAAAACCACATTTGGGGTGCCCCAGTTTGGCTGGGTCACCTCATGAGCATGGATAAATATTTACCCTTGTAATTCTGTACTTTGCATCTCCCATCAGTTGGCACAGGCCAGTTGCAAGTTTTCATTAACACTGAGCTGTGGTGCAGAGCAAGCCATGGTTTCCCTGCTCTCCAGCACGAGACTGAAGGCCCACTCAGAAACCCAACTGGAGCTGTGATCACACCAAATTTAAATATTTCTTCTGGAGGCTGGCCAGGGCTGCAGGGCTGGGGCAAAGGATGTTGAGGGGCAGAGCATGAACAAGACCAGATGAACAGTGATCCCTCCAAAGGGAAAGACCCTTTAGGAGTTCTGTCCCATCTGTGCAGCCACTCTGGCACCCCAGCCTCCAGTTTGACTCAGCAAAAGGGGATCACAGAGGTACCCAGAGACAGCAGTAGGCCAGGGCCCACTCAGCGATGTGCAGTACAGGCAGGAAAAAGTTTGTCTCCACCTGACTCCAACCATGAGGACACAGCTTGACCAACGTGGAGGAGGACACCAAGATTTTTTTTTGTGGGCCTCCACATGCACCAGGTCTCCTGAATCACAGAGTGAACATTGACAGCGTACACCAACAGGCCCAGCTCGTGGAGCACCAACCCCATCGTCTACCTCCAGAAGAGGCAGAGGAGTGGCTTGACAGCAATGGAGTAGAATTGGTTGGGCAAGGGCAAACTTAATAAAATTCCCAAGTGAATCTGATCAGCTAGGTCAATACACTTCTGAACTTGCCCGAGCACTTTCTAGCAGCATGTAGTGCCCATAGGAACCTCACATAGTGGAGGTCAAAGCCAAACTCCTGCAGTTTCCCCGTGGGGTAGGTGTCGTCCCTCCCTATCAAATGTCTTTGCTACAAGGCAATGAACAGACTGGTGCTATGTACTAAGTGGAGCAATTTGTGAATCAGCTGTCCAAGACGCTCCAACGTGGGACCACCTAGGTCTGGTTGGGAGGGATCACATTGCCTAGCATAGAGCTAGGTCACTGAGATAGCCTTCACAGTGATCTTGTAGTCTGCGCTCAGAAGGAATATTGCGTACCAGCTCTGTAGGGTGCAGAGGTGCCGCTGCTTGGGCAGGAAGGCTATGACAGCCCCCACCCTGCACAACAGGAGCAGCACATTATTGGCTGCAAACTTGACTCAGAAAGTGGTGAGTTTTGGACCAAGGATGCTCTGCAGAGTGCAGATGTCAGCCCATTGATGTCTGGAGAGTTGTTAGTACACGTACACGGGAGGGATCCTGAGCTCGGCCGTAGTAAGAGGGAGTTATATCTATGGGGATCTCTGTTGCCAGCAGGTTGAGGGAGGTGATCCTTCCCTTCTGCTCAGCACTGGTGGGGCCACACCTGGAGTAGCCCTCTTACGCTGGGCTCCCCAGTACAAGAGAGACATAGAGCTACTGGATTGAGTCCAGTGAAGGGCCATGAAGATGATGAAGGGACTGGAGCATCTTTCATATGAGGAAAGGCTGAGAGAGTTGAGACTGTTCAGCCTGGAGAAGAGAAGGCTCAGGGAGACCTTATCAATGTGTGTAAAATGTAACGTGAGAGAATGAAGACGAGGGAGCCAGACTCTTTTCAGCAATGCCTGCTGGCGGGACAAGAGGCAATGAGTCCAAATTAAAAACCATGCAATTCCACCTGAACATGAGAAAACACTTTTTTACTGTGAGAGTGGTCAAACAGTGGGACAGGTTGTCCAGAGAGGTCGTGGAGATATTCCATTTTTGGAGATACTCAAAAGTCATCTGGACATGGTCCTGGGCAACCTGCTCTCACTGATACTGCTTGAGCAGCAGGCAGGGGCAAGGGAGATGATCTCAAGGTCTCTTCCAACCTAAACAATTCTGTGACCATGGGGAGCCCGTTCTCCAAGGTCTGGCAAGTAAACTCCAGAGAGAAAGAGTGCCTTACTCCCTTCTGCATCAGCTCCAAATCCATCAACATAGTGTTAACCAGACCATCAAGGAGAGCATAGTTGGAATTGCACTTCTTCTGGGCCTGGCATCAGGGCACAGGCATTAATCAGGTTAATTAATCAGGTTTTCTCACAGTCCCAAAGACCCAGCAGGTGACCTGGTATAACCTTGGCAACCCAAAGGAAATAGGCTGGGGAAAAGCAGGGTCATTATACCCCTGGAGACAGCAGAGTTCAGTGACTGGAGCATGGTGTACATCCTGCAAGAATGTGACAAAACGCCCTCCCTTCTGAAGGAAGAGGTGCACAAGACTCCGGAGAAAACTTATCCTACTGCCTGTACTATTTAGCAACACTTAGCCTGTGGTGCCCCTGAGGACCCCTGGGCAGTACTGACACTTGTGCCAGCAGTGCCATGCAGCAACTTGTGCTCATCACAGATGAGAGGTGTACAGTAGCTGTACATTTTCATCTTTGCCTAGTTTTGCTCCTCCTATAACTATAAATCTGGAATCCCTTATTCCACTCAGTGTTTTCTGGGTATTATTCTGACACAAGCACATCTCATGCTGAAATTGGTACGAAGCCTTACCCGTTTCATTGTTGTCTCCAATTTCAGATCCTATGGAATCAAAATATCTTTTTCACCCTGTGTTATTTACCCCACACAGATCTGAAATCCTGCCCTATCTCCAACTCCACCTCTCCCAAATACTTTTCAGCTGGCTCCATCTGATGACATCAGGAAATTTTCCACCAGTCTTTGCTATTTGATAGTTTCTGCTGGTTCCTGCTGCTGCTACTCAGCAATCCTTTTCTGCATCCATTTACATCTGCCATTCTTCCCAGTACTGCACATGAACTTACATGCTAGAGCTGAATTACCTTTCCCAAACACAATGTTGCTGCATCTCTGTTCATACTCCCTCCTGCCCACCCTGCTCCCCAGTAAAACCAATAATGTCAGCAGAAGGCCTGCTTGGATAAGCAGGGAGTTTTAGTGACCTAAAATGCAAAAGAGTAAACTCCTGACTGTCACACAGCTCCTGTCTGTTGCTTTAGCATACAGCTTGAAGGATGTTCCTTTATTATTGGATGGATGCAATTTTTGCTACTGAGGCCAGTCATCTCTGTTCCATCCTTTCACAAGCTCACAGAGGCCTCTTTCCTCACTGCTTCTACAGGAAAGATCTTCCAGAACTGCTCTAACAATTTGCAGCTGATTTTCTGATTTCCAGTACAGTGTTCCTGTTGATTTGCTCTGTGCAATGCGTGCAAGCTCACACAGCTTCTCTATGTTATGTGAGGGGCAGACAGGAGAGGCACTCCTCCTCAGCGTGTATTTGCTGACCAATCCAAGGGTCGTTAGTTTTTCGTCATCCACTAGACTTTTCATTCCCCAGGTACTGCAGTCTGTACACAAGATGTTTAAATTATTTTTCTTCAGTACAAGTTACCCAGACTGCGCACAATAATGCATATAAAGCCTCACTAGTACTTGTCCAAATCCTTTCACAGCCACACTAAGAGAAGGGAAGTGCAAAAATTAATACTGACTAAACTAGTATTTGACTGGTTTTCTCCCCTGGTATATGTCGCAAGCAGTCCCTTGACTGTCTCCTAACAGCTGCTTTTTTTCTCCTTGCAATGCAGTATCATCGACTCTAATTCTACTAGAATAAGCTCTGTTACGTCCTTTTTAAAATAAAGCAGGCTGGCACAGCACATGTTCCATAAAGTCATTTGTTTGGCTGCTTTTCTGGGACTCCCCATTGCAGACAGACAGATATCGCTGCAGGAGAATTCCCAGAATGTGGGTTCTTTCCTTTTTAAAAACAGGGAAGAATTCAAAGTAATTGCCCCCTCCTGGTCAAGCCACCAGAGATCTGCGACAGAGACAAGCAGCCACTACAGACTATCCTTGGAGATAAGCTGAGATAGCAATAACTTGGTACAGAACAGTAATTTACTCATGTGAAGGACCATGATAGCTTATAGTGGAAGAAACTGGGGGTAGAGGGGAACGTTGCAGAGCACAGCCGGGCAAGTTCACATCAGGAAGGATGTGATTCCAGAGCCTGAGCTGTAATTTTTTGGCAATTACATTCTCACTGAGTAAGCAATGGGCAGGACCTGCACTTCTGGGTAAGGAGACGAAGCCTGATTTTATTCTTGTAAAGGAAGACAAGATGGATTATAGCACATGAAGAGAATAGGAGTACAGAGACCAGAATATAGAAGAGGGGAAGCCTGCTTACAGGACTGGGCTAGGGTTTGAGAAATTGGGGTAATGAGAGATGCCACAATACTTCAGGTCAACAGCAGGCCTGAGCAAGGATATAAGGACATCCAAATGGGATACAAATCTCTCACATCAACTGTAGCCCCAATAGCATTAATAACTTGTATCTTTGAGTTGCAGCCCTATTTCCTTGCACTGTAATGGTAGATAGATACGTAATCGTATGTTACTGTTGCTGGGTTTGTTTTCTAACATTTCAAGGAGTTAAATAAATTCACGGAAGTGCTGGAGCTGGCACAAAGGAAACAGCAGGAGATCACAGCTGGGAACAGAGGAGAAGCAAAGACTCCTTTTGGTAGCAATGAGACATTTACTGCCTCACTCATCTCTGTGAGCATTTGAAGCTGACTTGTATCAGCGCTGCCATCAAAAGCAGAGCATCAGGCCCCTTCTCTCCCTCTCTCGCTTCCTGTGCTCACACATTTACATGGTTTTGTAGTAAGGACCGAAGAACTCAGTGTTAAAATACTTTAAGCCTTTCTTGTCATGGTTTTTGCCTAACCCAGTTCATTCTGAAGGTAAGCAGGTTCCCTCCTTTCTGAACAAGAATAAACCAAAAACATTTCGGGAAATATAAAGTTACAGAGCCCTACAAGGAATCAAATATTTATTTAGAGTCAAAAAACTCTCCTCATATTTGCTATCTGTAACATTAAGTGAAGACAGCATAAGTGCTGCTGAAATCCACAGAGCTTGCCACAGCAGTACTGGGGACACACATACCACGCAGAGCACAATGAATGTGTAACTTGATAGAGATGCAATTAAGAGGGGTGTTAATGAATGCTCCTTTTTAGCCAATTCTTGAGATAGCATTTTACTATCAGTCATTCATCTTATTTCTACCAGTCTAAAGTATAACAGGACTTGTCTGTGGATTTTTAACCATTGACTTTTAATAAAATAATGCCAACTTAATTTTCTCATTTTCTATCAGTTACCATTTGTAACTATTTAGCAGAATGACCTGTCAAATGAATTAAAAACCAACCTTATCTTTTCTGTAAGCTGGTACGTCCCCCCAGAATACTACCATCCCTGCCAACTGCCACGAAAGACAAGGCAATGCTCCTCTCTGTCAGCTCTGTTACTGGCTGTCACTTTTCTCCTTTCCCAGAGAAAGCTCTAGCAATTCATCGAAGCTGGCCAAGCCAGATCCCTCCCCAGCACTGCACTGCATCCTGACTAATCCCTTACCTACTTCCTTCCCTATAATCGTAAATCTTAAGATATTTTCAAGGAAGAGCAGCAGCTCTCCTATCCCACCCTCACCCCCTCCAAGCTCATGTGGGCATAGGGAAAAAAATTGGGGGAATACTGCTGTGGGGAGTCAGGAGGGCAGAAGGGCTCAAGGGCACCAGCTGGAAACTTTAGGGGAGAGGGAGGAGAACAGGTTTAGCACGACAGGGCCAGACAAAGGCAAAGTGGTTTCATTTAAGCCGCCCCTGCTCTCTGCCATAACCACGCTCAGATTCTTGACAAGACATGCTAGGACTTAACTGGAAATTGAATTTCCCTCAGATAGTTCACTGCAGCCAAGATGCAGAATTTGTGAAATACAGTGTCACAAGGCTTTATCAGCATCATAAAATTCAAAGATCTTGCATGAACAAAGACAGCCAGAGAACAACAGACAAGCAGAAACACTGAACTAACCTGTTGGCTCTGCTGAGAGCCCTGCCAACAGTACAGAAGTCAGCCTAGGTCTCTCTTTATAATGCTATTTACAGTTTTTTACTACCCATGGGAACATGGCAGGGCAGCCCACAGCCTGGGGGAATTTAGGCATGTGCAACCAATAAACATGTTTTCCTACAAAATCCACACACCTGAAGACAATAATTTAAAAAATGGAAGCAACATACCATGATTATGAACTTGCACCTACGTTTTCTCAGGTATCTGCTGTTTACAGTAAGAATCCTTTTTTAGGAAGTCAGCGTGATGGTGTTCCTTTACTGCGGAACAAAATGTTTCTCCCATATGTTTGAAAGCAAGCTGGAAATGTCAAATCTTCACTGTAAGACAAGTTCTGGTAGCACTTGGAAGGAAAAATGATGGCCTACCCCATGGCATGAAAGCAGAAATAGACAGCAAAAATCTCTTAACTTCAGACCTTTTGTGGCCTCCTTCCCTGATACCCACCAGTGCTAGGCAATTAGAAAGATCAGATAAATAAGCCTAAGGAGGAATCAGGATCAGGATGCGTATTCAAACTGTATAGTTTTGATGGCAAAACATCTACAACCTCGCTGAGATGGTAGTGCATTTTGTAGATGATAAAGAAGTGGAGTTCAAAGACTGAAACACACTGTTGGTATCTGAAATGGGTAACACATTATTTCTGTAACTAGGAAGTAGCTGATAGACCAGTGCAACGTTGGTATCTTTCAAGAGAAATATGAATACAACTTGAGACCACAGTGTTAAAAATCCCAGTAGCGCACAGGATGCCACATCACCAGAGGAAAATGCCTCCAAGATGCTCCTGTACAACCACTGAGGGAAACCCACTCACCACTTTCTAAATACAATTCTTGGAGTGAAGAATACCACAGGACCTGTCTCCATACCCGACAGACAGAAACACTTAACAGCAGCAGCCTACTCAACAGGATCCATAAAACACTTCAGAGATGTAATCTGTAAAAGCTCGCCCTGTGTGTAGTGGTGGAAGGAAGGAGGAAGCTATGCTCCAGAGGGAGAGGCAGAGCTGCACCACTGTCTTTTATCTTGTTCGTTAGTCACACTACAAGGACACATGGTACCTCCAAACAACCTGCATTTTGAATTGCTGCTTTTGACAGTGAATTGTAAGTGAACCCATTCCCACGTTCATGTCAGAACAGGTAGACAGACGCACTGTGAGTTACATTGGAAAAGATGGACATTTGCAATAAGCCTTCATTCACAGGGCAGTTTATCCAGCAGTCTTAGGCAAACTCTTGTTACACAGAAAAGCTTCACTCGTGCCAGGCAGAAACTCTTTTGTTCCTTATTTCTGGACAACTTCTGTGATCCCAGAATCTTTTTAAGTATAAAAAGAATTAATTCATTAACTCCATGAGGTTGTTCACTGGGAATCTGTGATCAGTTTCCTATTGAGCAGAAAGTTATCTGTGCTGACTCCAAGAGGCAACAACAGAAAAGAAAGAAAACAACTTGAAGAAAGTTTAAGTACAATCAAACTTAAGTATCAGTCAAGCGTAAAAAGAAAGAGAAGGAAACTGTAATCAGGGAGTTAAAGTGAAATCTTATCCAGCTTCAGGTTACAATTTATGCAAAATATAGCACAGGCA